TGGAAACAAATTCAATCATTAAACTGGAATTTGGAGAATGTTTTTCTTAGTTTTCCTAACCTAACCTAATCTCAAACCTAACCATTCTTTACGAAAAACCCGTACAAATATTTTTAATTCACTTGTTTTCTAACGTCACACATTTTGACACGTCCTGTCACAATATTTGTTGTTTATGTTTCGTAGCTTTTGAACTGTCACTTTTGAAGTTTCTATATAGACAGTTTAATTCAAATGTTATATTTTCAGTTTTTCATACAAATTAATCAAATTTATTACTTAAAATATTATGAAATTATAGAATAATGAAAATTTAAAGAATTTACATTCTTTGTTATGTCTAATAATATGACTTTGGGTTATGACAATTGTTAACAAATAGAAAACCAACGGTGATTGTCATGGAAATAAATTCAATCAGTAAACTGGAATTTGGAGAATGTTTTTCTTAGTTTTCCTAATCTAACCTAATCTCAAACCTAACCTTTCTTTATGAAAAACCAGTACAAATATTTTTAAGAAAATCCTGTTCACTTTTTTTTCAATTTCTACAGCTTATAGCAGGCGACTCCGAGACAGCACGAAAATCTAAGTAGGCTCGTTGGAAAGGTGAGATATTCAGCTTTTATACGAGTGGTCATGTATGTAATTATCTTAAAGGGTTGTCGAGAAATTCACGAAAAACTGAAAAAACTGAAAAAAAACACGAGAAAAACCTAACTTCTAACCTAGCCTAACCTTTTTGTAGAGGAGTGGAAACCTACAAAAGGGACCACAGCTGGAATGGAATCCTGGTACTGGGCGATGCTTACGCAACTAACATACAAGAATGACTTGTTAATTCTCGTTTATTTTCAATTAAAAAATAATAAAAATTTTACGAAACAAGTTTTTTTTTTGTATTTTTATCAAAATTTGCATAAAATATTGCAAAAACAAACCAAATAATTTTAATTGTTACAATTTCAATTTGATTTTTTTAATATCACAGTCGTCAATCTGAAAATGTCAATGTGACATTGACGTTACTCAATGTGACAACAAATTATGACGTTTGCGTGATTGATAGCTTACCCAATTCGCGGAGAAGTAGAATCCGCGGATGCCTTCCTGCAGACTCTGGTAGGTGAGGACTTCTTTCGAGCATCCGGCGTGCTCCTGATCGTACGTCCCGCAGGTTTGCAGCGCGACGTCTTTGAGGATCTAGGTTTCGGAACATCTTCAAAGTGATTATTACCGCATTTACCACGAATTTAAGAATCGTCACTTGTACCTGATCCACCGGCCTAGGCCTCCACGGAAAACTCGATCCCATCGGATCCTCGAGGAGACGTTGATGCGCCGATGTGCTGATCTTCGCACCGTCGCGATCCAAAAGGACGAGCGTCGGGACGCCGCTCTTGATCTGGTAACGACGCGACAGCCTAGTCTGCAAATACACAAAGAAATGAAAAGAAAACAATATTTAAATTTCCTCCCAAAGAGCAAACATTTCGGATTGATCGTTTTCCGATAAAGAAGGGAAAAAAATCAAATCAGCGTTTCCTACGCTCCGATGATAAAAAGGGAGAGAAAAAGATTAACTTCGTAGAAAAGGGCAAACTCCGAATGACCATTGATCGCAACTCACAATTGCGATAGAGGGAGAAAGGGAAAAACAGCAGAAACAAACGAAACTCGGATTTTCAGAGAGCCCACTACGGTGACGAGGGTTTAATTGACACAGTTCCGCTGTTACAATGATTGATCATGGAATTGCGGAACGATACGATACTCAACGCGCGAACACGTAGTACAACTTTAATGTTTTCAATTAAGCTCGCAACGCATACTTTCGGATACAACTTATCTAACGTCACACATTTTGACACGACCTGTCACAATATTTGTTGTTTATGTTTCGTTGCTTGTTTGATCCATATAACCTGTGTCAATGTCAACGTTTTTCTTTTGAACTGTCACTTTTGAAGTTTCTCTATAGACAGTTCAATACAAAAGTTATATTTTCAGTTTTTCATAAAAATTAATCAAATTTATTACTTAAAATATTATGAAATTA